TCTCACACAACAGAGAAACGGAAGCATTACCCTTGCTGTATTGCTGAGACACCAACTTCAGTAACGATGAGACACCCAAGATAAATAACTTTCTCCGGGTTACACTAAGTGTGCACTCAATGTTTTCCAATTTCCTTTCCCTAAACTATACAAAAACTCTCTCTACAACAATAAATTACACGTGCCCGGGACCATTCTCTGGAATGGAGGCCAACTGGCACAACTACCCTTGTCCGTTTGGTTGCATTGTGTTATGCAAAATTTGGATGCAGAATAGCTGCAACCAAAATGTCCACTGGGCAGTCCCCTGGCCCATTCGCACTCCTGAGTGGTACAGAGGAACCTGTTGAGCTTTTCAGCTGATATGGGCCAAACCTGCACCTGTAAACCTCCAAACAATTAATGCTACAGACGATCAAGGTCCAGTTCATGGGAACACTCACTGGCGCTGTTTAATTCAGTATCACAGATACTGCCAAATGTTCACCCGTAGACAGCATCTCGCACTGCCATTCACAGGGTACATTTTTTCAATACTCAAAACAGCAGTAGGAAAGCAATAAACTAGGCTCACCTGCTATCTCAAGGATTGAAGAGTGGCTCGTTATCTTAAGAACATGGCTTAAATAGCATCTGGCTTCAAACCCAATGTTCAACTGGAATTAATTTTTTCCTTTACCGTAATAAACAGGTAGAAGGTGTGTGAGATTTTTTGTAGTTTTGTTTTTTAAAAAATCGGTTTGCTTTTAAATAAAAAAGGGAACAAAAGATATTAAGCTTCTACAAAGAGACATGGCATATCAGAAGTGCAGGATCCAGTAACAAGAAGTGGTTGAAGATATAGAGATGGAAAATAGGAAGGGCCAGCAAGTAGCTCAGCACAATTCAGAAGTGAAGCGATCCTGTCAGCACAGCACTTTTTGCTGTCAAAATACTTGATCAGAACCTGTTCAGCCCTTCAAATAAGAGGGCATAAGAACAATTAAGAAGAGAACACGTATCTTGAAAGATAATGCCGGAACACACAGTTAATTTGGAGGAAGGAGAGATGGGAAGAGATCTCCAGGTCCATCATAAATTGACTGAGCTCCCTACTAAACAGTAAGGGCTTGGCTGGTTGCTTTCTACTTTCGCTATTCCCAACGGAAGGCTGTTGCAGAACCAAAGTCTTCTAAGCATTAAGAGCTTTCTTCCAGTTTTCAGCTCAAATTTACTCAGGGTCAGGTGGTACACATTTTTTCTGGCGCCCACATCTTTTAAGATTAAAAAACTGTTCTCCTTAAATGTTATTTGCCTCTTCTGCATTTACAGGAGTCATCCTACTCTTCTTCCACTTGCTTTCCAAGCCTAAGCAAATCAAGATCTCCTGATGTCATCAAGCATGTCCACCTCCCACAATCCCAGCGAATCCTGTAGCTCTCCTCTCCAGTTATTCCAGGTGGAGTTCAACTTTCTTGTATGTGAATGACCTTCAGGACAATCACGCCACATAAGCTGTGCTCTGTTCAATGGCATCAACTTTTCTCTACAGTTTCTGAAAGCACTTTGCCTGACACACTGCAGTGTGGCAATTTATGCCTACATCACACTGACTGCTCCCAGCTGCTCTCTTATGCTTCACTTCAGTTACCTGTGGGTCTTCCCCCTCCTCAGTTCTGGCCAACTGGAGAACACACAACTTATGGCTCTAAAATTCCTTCCCCTTTTCTAAATATCTTCTTGCTGGTCTCAGCTTTCTGTCCTTCAAATAAGTAGCTTATCATTACAGTACAAGAATAGGAATGTTTTTTCCCCAAGCAAGCAAATACTTAAACCGTTTATTTAAATACAAAAATTAAGAGGAAGGAAAAAAAAATGACAGCTAAGTGGAAGGTGAAAGTTTAGTTTGGAGCTTAAATAAGTTGAACATACTTCTGTTGCAGCTGTAGCAGAGGGCTTGTACTTAAATGACTGATCATGATAAAACCAAAAATCCCTCCACTAAGGTTTCAAATTACAAAATAACTTCATCTAAGGGAAGACAAAACACACATATGGAAATACTGCCATACGTTTATAGTGCCTTCTCAGCACAACAATTCTCTTATGGCGCTGAGAACTTACTGGTATGAAGAATTAAGAATTCTGAGTGCTACTTTAAAGCAATTCTCAGTTAAATCAACAGTAGTGAGAAAACAGCACACATTTGACTTGTAGAATGGGAGACGATTCGTGACTCCCTCAACAGCTTTTAATACTGATGAAACTTATAACCACCTCACTGTTTGGGAATGACATATTTTGTTAGTATTGGACTGGTTAAGATACTCAGCAGGCTGGCTTGTTTATCATCACAATTTTTCAGTCAGAGGAAAGTTCTTCCTCAGTTCTTTCTGAGCAGAAAGGCGGCCGGAGGTCAATTAACTTTTACCTGGGTGCAGAATTGAGCTCCTTTCTAAAAACCAAAAACTGCATCTCTGTCACGACATTGCCAACTCTAGGAAGTGTCTTTCTTCCACCCTTTGCTTCACTAAGAAGCTTTTTGGCTCAGATGGTTTTCTTCTGATGCAGAAATGTGGAAGTATCGGGAATCTTGCACATTTGGATAGCAAAGCTGTTGTTCACGTAGCTCTGTAGTTGTGAGGGTAGATGCTGCAATGGTCACATTCCCCTAAGTACAGCAGTTGTCTTTGCCCTGCGTCCTACAACAGATCACAGATGAGCCATGTCATGAGAAAAACATGCTCCATTACAACTTCCAGGCTGGATGAGCAAGAACACCACTAGTGGGTCTGCAAGTCAGAAGCCCAATGCTGGTGTCATACCTCAGGTTCTTGACACAATGACAGGTCAACGCAAGAGACTTAAAAGTGTGGTGATTATTGTTGGAACGCCAAAGATAAAGGAGAGATGTGGCCTGTGTGGGACTTAAAAAAAAATAAAAGGAAGATCTTACTCTCTATGTATCATTAATGTTCTAAAATGAAATGTAATATGTAAAAAGTAATCAAGACAGGATTAACAAATACCAAGAAGTAATACAGACTTCCTGAAATTATTCTGGAATCATATAATCCCTGTTGTAAGGAAGCTATCTGCCTTGAAGATGCAAGACAAGTCAGTGGCATTTCAAAGGTAAAAGTGTTTCTGAAGTGGTTCAGCTACATTTTAGTTTATCAGCTAGTATACAGCCTGGGTTTTAAAAAAGGTATGTGCTGGATAGAAGAATCAAGAGTTGAACTGGACTATCACATGATGATCTCAGAGGCCTTTTCCAACCTAACAATTCTATGAACGCGACGGGAGAACACACCAAAACATATTTAGCATGAACTGGCATACAGTTGACAAAACACTAATCCATTTGGCATGGCAGACGTGTCATGATTTGGATGCTGCTAACATCTCTGTCAGAAGCTGTTGTTATTTTATGAGCTATTGTTACATTCAAGAAATAGCAAGCCTTCGTTGGCTTGAGGACTGGAGTAAGACCCCTATGGATTACTACGCTCACTGACTCATCCCGCAGCAAAAAAAAAAAACAAACAAAAAACAATTAAATCACATGTAGCACGAAAGGGCTTTCTTCAGAAATGAATGGCTCTATAAATAAAACAATGGATTAATTAGTTTCTAATTAGTTCTTAAGTTCTCTGTCCTCTGGTCTGACAGGTGTTGATTTAACATCTCTCTGTACTCAGAAACTACATTTGGATAGCTTGTCAGGAGTGGTGAGGGAAGGCAGACAGGTAGAGCAAGACCTATTAGTTGTTCTTTGTGTTAAGTCAATAAATGTTTAAGGAGCACAGAAGTTACTCCTCTGACGGCAAAAGCAGAATGGGATGAAGGGACTCGCGATTTTTAGAACTGGTCTCCCATGTACCGTAACTATGTAGCATGAAAAACTTTATTTTGATCACATTTCACAGTTTCTTCATAGCCAGAAGGAATTTCATTATGGGAATTTTCATACCACTATACTAGCAAAAAGGTATACATGCCTTTTTATCCGTTTTTATCCTTTTACACTTGTTCCATAAAACCATTTTCCACTCTCCAGCTCACGATGTCTCTAAGCAGAAAAGTCCTATCTGCCACGCACTTGTCAAACTGGGTAGATATGACAAAGTTTCAAATACATCAGTATTTATAAAATAGGAAACTTTAAACCACAAAAAAAGAAAAAAAGAAAAAAGGCTGTTGGGAGGAAAACTATTTTCTGCCTTGACTTTTAGGTTCTTAAGCCACCAGTATTTAACATTAATGTCTCTCTATTTCAAGGTCATGATTGCAACAGTTCTGCTATTTGTGGATATCAGTGAGAGATTATCTGCCTTTCACTAGTTCAGGCACTCCATGTACACTTATTCATGGATTTGATTTTTTTTTTTCTTAAAATGTTTATAAGGTTAGAATCTGCCCCTCCAAGGTATAATGGGCAAAAGAGCATATTTTAAGTGAAATGAAATTACACTTCTCTTGATTTAAATACAAAAAGTTAGCTCCACCGGCAGTCCATCCACAAGAAGTTAACACCAACTTCACAAACACCCATAAGTTATTTCTGTAAACAGCAAATTACTAAACATAGTACAACACTCTGAAACAGAAGAAGAATGCACACAACCAGTATTTTCCTTTTTGACTAGAAAATTAAAATCTCTAACAGCAGGTAAGATGGATTAAAAATCAATGAAATCTGGACCCCAAATAGGGTATGGGTTATGATGCCCCCTATCTGGACTCAACTCTTGAAAGCAATCATGCACTAAGGAAAATTTTAGAAAGTCGTTATGCAGATGTTTAAACTAATGTCTTGGAAACTTACTTTGGAACATGAAAGGTATTTGCGCTACAGTACCATGTGCAGTAAAGAAAACTAGTATCCCAGGTCCATTTCAATGCCACACCCTTAAACAAAACAAGGATGCTATGTCAGAGTAACATGGATGGAAATCTCACCTGCCATCCCGAAGTTAAGCTGTGGCATTTCTTCACTTTTTGTCCCTTTCCTTGGGCTTGGTAAATCTTTTGCAGAGTCTGATGCAAAGGCCCATAGCTTTTTCCTGTTTGTAACAGAGGATGCCTGGGTTTTCACAGGTTTGTTTGTTGTGGGGCACCACTTGTACCCTGGATTTGCCTTCATAAATGCATCCTTGTACTAGAAAAGAAAACGAAAATTACCAGTCATGCCAGTCATGACATGATACTATCCATAGGGCAACAGAGTGCACTGTGTGTAAGAGGATTTAATATAGTAAATAATCCTTGAATATCTTTATTTTTTAACAGTTTAATCACATGCTTAGAGTCTGACCACAAACACATCTTAGTAAGAAGAAATACTAAGACAAGTAGAACAGTATTTATAAAAGTGGGTTTTCTCTTTCCTCTCCTGAGGATTTACTACCCAGGGCTGGCTGAAGCTCTGATCCTGCAAACTGCTCCCCATTGCTTGTATGCTCACTCTCTGAGAAACAGACAGCTATTTGAATCCTATTGCAGGTACAATCTTTGTTTCTAGTTTGAATGAAATGAAAACATACATGTAGCAATAAATGCAGCATGATGCTCCTTACCTTGCACTCATTTTGCTCTAATAGTTCTGTAGTTTAGAATATTTGAGTATACGCTTTCCCAAACCAGACACTGAATATAAACCACTACCAGTATCGTCTCATTTTCAGTAACATCTGATACATCATCCCAACGTTCCTTCCAAAATGTACCATGCTGCATGGCTGCAAAAAACACACTGGGACCATTTAAAACTTTCTTTGGCCTTGAGCACACATCTCATTCTTGGTATGAGGCAGCAAAAGGAACAAAGCCAGACTACGCATGGAGGGGTGAGGGAAAAGGTCTGGATCCTACACAGTTTGGAAAGTAGGGGAAAGGATGGGAACCTATTGTATTCACAAAATAGAACAGTGACATTTTCCGAGTATCTTCCTGACCAGAACAAAACAAGATTTTTGAATGTTAACACCAATAAACAGAGCACATTTCAATATTTCCGATGTGTTGCTACGCAAGGTGAACAGGCAAATCAGAGGAATATGCCACACATTCCAGCTGCAAATGTTTGCCTAACAACTGACAAGGGCATACAGCACTGGCTGCTGTGGGAGCCTACCCAGTAAAAACCAGTGCTCACCACAGGGAGAAGGAACTCAATACCTCCTCATGCACTCAACAGCTCTCGATGGTGGCAAATGACCAAAAGAATTATTTTATCCTGAAATACGGGGCAGGGCAGCTGCAGGAAGTTTCTTCTGCGATTACACATCTTCCCACCCACCCAGCTGTCATCAGTCCCAGTTACGGCACAGAGAAGCACCTATGTTTCATGCACATGCCTGCACAGAAACACATGCACAGGCAAAAAAAATCCCTTGGGTATCAAATACAGAAACAGCACTGAAAAACTTGTCCTCTGATCGAGTCACTGCAGTGTTTTCCCAGATCAATAAACAGCATGCCTTGTGGCAGGAGCACCATCGCATGTGTATCACTTACTTTCATTTCCATCTTAACCTATCAGCTGGCACTTGCTACCTCCAGACTGTAGCAAGGATAAAAACGTTTCCGTTAACAAGAAGCACAGAACCATGTGAACCCGCTGTGTGAAGTCCTGTATTTATAGAAATGGCTATAAATAATAAAAATCTGCAGGGACCGCTGACCCACATACACTCTGTATTTTCTGAATAGGGTGTATGTATTAAATCTGCAAACTAAGGACTGCAACATCTCTCACCTTGCCCCTTTTCCCTTTCCCTCAGTTTGATTTGGGAGCTCAGTACAGCACAAAAATAGCCTGGTGGAGGGAAGGGAAGGGGAGGGGGTAAGGGAAGAGGCGGAAAGGAAATACACAGCGAAGCAGCTATGCCTTCCATTGTTAAAGCCACAGCCCACTCAACAAATCATGTTTCCAGCCTGCAGAGTGAAAAGCACAGGATTGCTAGCAATGAGGTACATAAGCTCTTCATACTGGCATTGCTGCTTTGAGTAATTGGATTATTCTATGGAGTAATTTGACAAACTGACAGGCTGCCCATCAAATGAGAACCAGAATGCATGCCATTTATGAGACGAGGCAGCAATAAGCTTTTAATCAGTTGCCAACAAGAGCAATTCAAGTGAGCTGGTGTATTAATGGATTTTTTTTTCCTCTGCAAAGCCAGGAAGTGAATGTTAACTGCACTCTCCAAAGCGGATGGAGCAAACTGAGGGAGGACAACTCATCGTCCCCTTTCACAGTTTCAACACTCAAGATAAATGAAAAAGAAAATGCAGAAAGTTAAACAGTGGCCAAAAAGTAGTTTTATAAAATGCATACAGGGGCCTGATCCAAATCTCAGAAAGACTTGCAGCATTCAACCAACTGTGCAGCAAAGCAACTTAACACAGCAAGCCTAAGGACATCTCTAAAGTTGCTTTAAAACAAAAAAAAAATAAAAAAGCAAGTCCTTAACCTGGAATGCAAAGACACCATCTTGGTTCCCACATGCATGGCAGGGGCAGCCTGGCACGGTCATGTCCTGAAGTTCCAGGTAAGATAAAAAAGCACAGGGTACGTTTGTGGGATTGGTCTGATGTACCGTTTTGGTTCCGTGAAAGCCTGGGGAAGGAGGCGTTATGCAGTGGGACCAGCGCCACTTTAGAGCTGAAGTTAAAAAAGGCGCTGTGCTTCAGTGCAACTGCCTGAGTTGCTTTCATCACCAAATAGAAAAAAGATTTGTTTTCTCCAGTGTGGTGGGAACAGGAGCTCACAAATGGATTCCAGCTACAGCTCAGGGTAGTAGTTCGCACATGCTTAACTTTAAACGTATGCTTAAATCCCACTAACTGGCTATAAATGTCACGTGAAACCCAGAGATCTAACAACAACAAAAAAATTCCTGAGAAAATACAACACGCTGTTTTTCACTCCTGAAGGACACGGGGTTCGCATTACATGTTACAGTCCAGACGTCACTCAGTGATCTTGCCAGACTCCAGCCAGCAAGCCAGAACATTTGTCCACTCCTACGCTGAGGCAGCTGCCAAAGCAGCGGCATCCCAAGGACAGCAAGCTCCCGTCTGGGCTGGATGTACCTGTGAAACCACTGGCCGAACACTCACAGGGAGAAGTGTTTAGTTCTGCCACTGAATGGCAGCAGCCTGGTTTTATCAGGCTGCTCCCTACAGGAAACAATCCCAACTGCCTGGATCTTGCTGATGCAAAGACATATTTAAAAATGGAAGTGTTTTCTAGCAAGGGAAACAAGGCTTGAACAATAATAATCTCACTGGATATTTTGCAAGGCAGCTGGATATTCCCAGTAAGCCCTTTAAGAGTTAACAGAAGAACACTACACATATTATTGTAGTAAGTAAAAATGCTGGAACATACTTATGAATGACCAGAATTCATTTTCCCCTCAGCAAAGGGACATGCTAACAAACAGCAGGAACATCTATGGTTAGACACTTGGAATATTTACCAGCTACTGGGCTTATATCCTAGGTAATGAAATTTTCAAAGTTAAGTTGATCTAGGAAGTCTGTGGGATCCAAAGAGAAAGCCCGCTCCTAAAGAAAACACCAGTAGAAGCTGACATCGAGCTCTGCAGGCACAGCATGAGGTCTCCAGGGCAGATGTGGCTACAACAGACCATAAATAACAAGACTGAAACTAGAGGGAGCATGGTGTCAGATATTCTAGGTAATTAAGGCACCCCAAGGCGCAGAGAGGCACATAATGGGATTTTCCAAAAGTGCCCAAATGAACTATAGACCTGATTATGTTCTTGCGGGGAACTGGGGACACATGTCCAACTCGCTACAAAACTTCTTGTAATTCCACCTGGCAAAAAATTTGGGTGCCTCACTATATTCCAAAATTCTAGATCTTGCATATAGCTAGACATATGCAAGTAAATATACAAATGCCTTTATTTGCACACTGCTGAGATAGTATCACTGCTGGTACTAAGCAAGTAAGAAACCGAAAGCTTCTTGCTTGATCTAACCTAATTGGCTTTGTAAGCTATGGCTCCAAGTAGTAAAAACATTCTTGAGACTGTAAAACACAGGGGTTGTAGCCACTGCAGTACTGACCACTTCTGCCAGGCCCCTTCATACCTCTGGAAGAGTAATTCAGATGCTCAGGTTGCACAAGACATGTTGTGGAGATAGTGCATATGACACATGGTCCTTTGGGAGATGTGTGCCCTGTCAAAGCCGTGGCCAGAAGCTGCGTGGTGAAAACTGGAAGTCAAAAGGCACTGAAAAGCTACATTAAGTAACAGAAGCTCATCCACTCTATTTTAAACCTCAATGAGCTTATACATATAGGTACTCAAACAGAAGATTATTGGTACAATGGTAATTTTATGTCCTTCCAAAGGCATTCACCTTCTTGACTTTTAAATGAGCTCTGCTTAGGAAAAAGGAAAATACCAATAAAGAGTTCACACTAGAGCTGTCATTAACATCTTTTTGACAGTCTCAGAAGTAAGCCTAACTACAAAAATGAGTGTTAAACCAAAACGACGGATCCACATGCACAGAACAGGCCTGTTGGTGAAGAAGGCCCAAATATAGTTAATAGCACATTATAGCTGCTAATTATCGCTGTGACATACACCTGTTTAAAGAATAAAAATTATACGCTCTCTTCTACACGTTCTTGGAACTAGCTGTAATGATGTAAACTACTTAGATTTATTGTTTTGCTTTGACGTTAAATATGCAATTTGTTCTTCATGCCAAGAAAAATAAATAAATCACTACAGGAACAATGATTTCTACAACAATATGATTAACAGTTTCAGATCTGTCACTTCATACAGAAATTCTGCAATTATTTTCCTTCTTAATGAATGAGTTTCGTTCAGCAAGACAAAAGGCTAAGAAAACCTGTCATATCAGGTTCATTGCTTCCAAAAATTATGTCTTCATTTTCATCTTTTCTTCCTCTGTATCTGTACTGTATCTCCTAATTGCCCTTTCCCCACGCATTTCAAAAAGCATTGCTAATTTGTAAGTGGGAATGCAGAACAAATCAGGAATGGCTGGACAAAGCTGAGATTCAAGTATTTCAACACTGTCACAGATGGGAAACTACAGAGGTACCACAGACCCTGCTTTAAAAAGGATCTGCCATGCAGAGTTCCTTCTTACTGGCCTTCCATTGTTTTTACTAAGGTTGAGTTCAATGGCTACCTGCAATCTACATCACACAGGTAGTTACAGGGATATGTTTTGGGGTGATGTTATCAGCCTGAGTAACCGGCTGTGTCTCTCTCTCATGATACCTGCAGCCTTCTTGGGGCCAGCTGAGCAAGCAAGCTATTTCTTAAAAAGCCTCTTCTAAACTTAAAGCTGACATAAAAACACTTTGTGAAATATGGGGATAAATCTCTTCCCCCTACTCCCAGTTAAAGGACTCTGACTATGTACTGCTTTCTGATTTGGGTATTGGGATTCTGTCTCACCAAAGGTTGCTCTATCAGAAACGGGTTAACAATACATAGGGAGATTACTTCATGAAACACTAATAATTTTTAAATTCTTTAGCATCAAAGGTAGAAAGGGACTACATTTGTTGACTATGCTTTTGGTTTGGTTCACCTGCATTATAACAGAAACCTGTATTATCGATAGCAAATGCACAGCTTGAGTTAACTGTCACTAGTCAGCTGACACTGCTACTGTTTTCAGTGGCCACTATCCAAACACTATTACGCGTTAATGCCTGTACCATAGGAATCATCAGGTGGTATCTACCAAAAAGTGCATATATTTGTACCAATGTCTACTGAAGCCAGGTTAGTTTGTGTACACAGACCAACTTCTTTCCATTCTGGTCCACAGAACCAAGTGAATCAAAGCAAGAACAGCAGCTGATCTGGGCACCATAATCCCACTGGAGAAGATGAGGAACTCAGGGAAGAGAAAGACCCCACAATAAAACATTTAATACACAGAGAAACAGAAGACAGACAAATATGTAATGAACTTCCTTTTCATCCACCATTCAGACAGAACATACCTCCTTGGCCATGTCAGTGTATTTCTGCTTTTCTTTTGGATCTAAAACAGCCCACCAATCTGCCAAGATCTTGGTTGCGCCACGATTATCAAGCCGAGGGTGTTCTTTTCGCACGAGAGAGCGATGGCGTTTGCAGAACAAGAGAAATGCATTCATTGGTCGGCGAGCTCGTTGCTCTGAGGACTCGTCATCTTCAGTTTCATCAGCATCCTGCTCTAAACCGTCAGCACCAAGGAGTGGCACCTAGCAGAACCAAAAGGGAAGGGGTGCAAACTCAGTTATCCACACTTCTCACGGAGACTGAGTGTCTGTGTATGCCGTGCGTGAATGAGGGAGATGCACATGGATACACGCGGCTGTCTCCAAAGGCCACCCGTTCTGTCCGGAAGAACCAGAGCTCTACATCAGACCTCCTCACCTGACAAGGTGAGGTTCACACTCTCTGCAAGACTTAAACTCTGCCTTGCAAATGGAGCAAATTTCTGAGACGAGAAACATTCTCTAGTAACAGTCCTAAAGGGGCTGGAGGGAGGAGATCCTTCCTACCCGCTTCCTACAACCTAGAAATCATCTCAGTGGGATGAGATGAGCAGAGCTACCTTGGACCTCAGTCATGTGTGTCTGCAACTGCAAAGTGCATAGGAAGGAAAGTGCATAGGTAACAGTTGTTTCCCCGTCTCCTGCTGCTCGTAACTCAGCCTGAGCAGACACCGCACAGCTGCCCAGTCAGAGACAGAGGGCAAATCTCAACAGAATACACTGCCAAAATATGCTCTCTCCACTTACAGGCCAGTGTGTCATTCCTACATGGGACGCACCAAGAAGACTAGTTCTGACTGAACAAAACAAATTACTGTATGAGACAGAAAAACATCTCCTACCTAACTGAACACTGATATTTTATACCACATTGTGAAAGTGACCTGTAAGGTCAACAGAAAGCACTGTCAGAGTATCAGGCTCCTCCTTGCTGCTCCTTATCCTTGGCAAGGTCACTCTTCCTTATCAGTACGTGGCTCAAGGCAGTCTCCTCAGCACTGATCTCTCCCTTCCTGCACCAGGAAGGCATCAAGGAGATGCAGATAGGAATGTTATCCACATGGAAACATCACATCTCCATAACCCATTCCCATCTCTTGTAACAGAGGATGAGTTCAACTGTACATTTGTGAGACGTCACATTGTGGGGTCCTTACAAAAAAAGGTTAAGGCCAGCGTCATTGGACAATACCCAAATACCAAGCACAAACCAGAGACAGATTATTCCACCTGTGCTCTCAATATTCTGAAGGGTAAGTTGAATTTCGCATGCAAAGACAGCAAAAACTGTTGACAGCTTTTTCCTTCCTTTTCCCTTTTAATCTTTGTATTTTTTAATCTTTAAAAAAATAAAGAGAACTATTAGCTTGGTGTGTCCTCAGAGCCACTAGAAGCAGATACCAAGCACAAGCTAACCCCATGTCTAAAATAAATAATTAAAAACCAAACCCATGTCAAAACCTCACCTTGAGCAATCAAGATAGAGATGCGCAACACAATATTAAAAGAATCCGGTCAAAATTCTTACAGTCTAACAAGAGAGTTTTGTTGAAGATTTTAAAAGCATGACTGACAATTCACTTTTTTATGTTATTTGCTACTTGCCTTTATAGCTTTATGGACAGAGCATCACTTCTTTTTATTGGCTGTGTTTGTTCGCAGAAGAGAACAGCAAGAAGCAAATAAAATAAAAACACTGCTAGGGAGAATCTGACCCACCATTAACCTTCTATGGTCAAAGCATCCAAAGAAGTCTACCTTATCAATATCTTCCTCCTCTTCCTCCTCCTCCTCCTCTTCAGAGAAGTCAAGGAGTTTCTTGGCAAGCAGGGGATGCCACTGAAGACACTTTCTTTTTGGTCGCTTCCCAGTTCCTTCTCCTTCTGTCGAATGATCCTTATTCCTACTACTGCCTTTCATTACTGTGACCTGTCATGCAAAAATAGTCATAAATTCACAACAAACCCTTAGGCATAAATGACCATCATATATAGACACTTAAACAAACCAGTGACAAATATACGGGGCACAACTGCAAGAGATTCAGGTTTTGGGCAAGCTATTAGATAAAGATTTATTCTAATTACCAACAACCGCATGGATGTATCTTTTCCAATCTTAACATTTCCACTTAATGCCCAGATTAACTAGCAACATACAATTTCAGAGCACAAAGCAAGGACACAAGCCAGTCCAGCTCTCCAGTGTGCTCCTGTCTGAAGGTTAGCAGAAAACCCCTCATACTTCAGTAGTCAAGCGAGTGAGAGATCTCAAAGCTCTCCCACACCTGTGTCCACTGTAGTTTTTCATATTTTGCCACTGAAAATATCAGGATATCCCTCTTTTCAGCAGTGGAACATATTGCCAGCCACTCATCTGTTAATCATGCACTTATATACAGCAATGTTGATGCAAAACCCCATGACACTATGAGCTAGGATTTCCCAAGTGCCATTGAAAGGTGCAATAGGGAAATCTGACTCCCTAAGAGAAATGAATTTTAATACATAATTTGAAGCAAACAACCAGACCTGGTTACCCTGACACTTCCAAAGTACTCATCAACAAGAGCCCACACACAAACAAAACAAACCATCAGCTAAACCAAGTGCATGCAGAAGGTAAAACATATTCACTCACACACCTATCTTCTCTGTGCGTGTTCTTATCTAAAAAATATCTCAGAATGACCTCAGTAAAAATACATGCTAAACAGATGCTAACTACCAATTTTAAGGGACGGCTTAAGAGATCTGCTATCCAAGCAAGGGGCAAATAAATACCTAAATAAATAAAACCAGCACATCATATCCGAGTACTGAAGCCCACTGCAAGCAAGCCCTGCTGGCACACAGCCTGGTCCCTCGTAGCCTTCTGTTTACACTGTGTAAAGTCAATGACAATCCTGACAGAGGCATGGCTTTCTAAGAAAACAATGCAAACATCAAAACAAACTGAACCTGGGGAGTGGTTAGCCAGCTATATCTTTATAAAGCCAACAAAAATAGATGAAGACTCACAGGGGCCTCTTGCCAGCAGGATAAAGAAGCTGGGCTAAGTCCTGGTCCCATAGGCAAAGCCAGAAGAAGCTCTGTTGTTGACTCTCATGAAAGGGCATGAAAAGAAGTCAAGCCTTGTAACTGCAAGGCCACATCGCATTCTAGGATGCTGCTTTCTGGAAGATGCCTACTAGAGAGCTAATGTTTCAGCCTATAGTGGCAAAAGGGAAAACTGGGACACCTGTACTTACACTGGTTACCCAAGCCCTGGTGTCACTGTCACAGTAAATGCTTCACCAGAACCACCACACACAGCTGCTACACCCCGTATAGCTCCAGCCACGCTCCAATGTATCCCACCCATTTAGCAATCACCAATTCTGTTTTTGGCTGATCTCTTCCATGCGTGTTTCTTGTTGGTGAACTCACTGGCAATGTGCCCCTGTTAGCACCAGAAACATGTGTAAGCAGCTCCTTCCCCCCTGGACTCCAACAGCACAGAAAGCTGAAGGGCCTTCAGTCACCGCTTGCTAGAGGAAACAACTGAACTCTGAAGGAAGAAGGTTCAGAGATTTTAACCTACATTTAAAAATGGCATTTTCCTGGATGTGTATTAGATTTTGTAAGCTCCTCCCTACTTACCAGCAGTACCTGGCCCCTCACCAGTTAAGGATGCCCTGTAACTTCATAGCGGCTTGCTATTAAGCTCTGCACTTTGCTGACCCCATCATGCCGCGTCTACCTGGAGCACATTTAAACTTGGTTTCATGGCACCCACTCCTCTGTTCATTTTCTGTAACCAGCTCCTGTCTCTTCACCAAATATTGTATGGTACATAATCACACACCATTTCACCTAAATCTTTGTCTGCGACTTGCAAAGCAGATCCAAATACACAGAAACAACCAACTTTGGCTTTAAAACAACATTAAAGCATGGAAAAATCAAACCACAATCCAGTATCACAAAATGCCAGTTTGATGTTGTTTCTATCCCACCATGACCTTTGCCATGTACCACACTGCACAACCCTCCCCACCTGTCTCTTGTCTTAAAGTGCTGAACCACCATTTGCTTTTGTTTGGGCTATTTCTGGACACAAATTGACAAAGTAGCTGAGTTACTGTTTGAACAGGAACTTCAGATCCTGTGTGCAGCAGATTCGTTAAGTCTCGGAGTTTGTTAAATAACAGAGATCTGTTCGTTACTGTAGTCAGTACAGTATGTGGCCTATTTCTGAGCAGGATAAATGTGCTACAAGTATGACAGGGAGTCAGCTACTCCAGCCGTTACCAGTGACTTATTCAGGCGAGCTAATCATAAGACTTCTGCCTACAGTTAAGTCTCAAGTAAGGTGAGTATTACTGGTAGCCTTCTACCTTGTTAGTGTGAAACTAAATTAATGTTTGAAACTAAATTAATGTTTGAAGAGTGCTCCATGATCCTCCTTTACAAAGCTCAGCTGACATCTCAGTGCTATTTCAACAATAGCATCGCCTTTAGCTGGCACCTCTCTGCATTCTGCCCTTTGAAAGAGAAAACTTCACAGGACTTAAGTGATTCCACAGTGCACTTTACATGTGTTCTTCACCACCCCTGAGGCCCTGCCTATGCTCCATGCTGAGCTTGGCATGGCAGCACAGACCCTAGGCACAGGTCACTTTGCAAATCCCAAAGGGGCTCTCAGTATGTTATGTATCTTTGCTACCTTCCAGCTCACAAGTAATTTTTGTTTTCCATGCACAAAGGCTAGTTATTGAACACCTAGTGACTCCTAAAATAAATGAACCAAAGCTCACTGCACATTAGTGCTGAAATACCAATGTATGCTCAGCTCCAGAAATTCAAGTGATGTTCATTAGGTTGCTTGCTTAAATTGTGAACCATTTTTACCCTAGTCGTCACCCTGAAGCAGCAGTTCTACTATAAAGAGGCTTCTTAGCAAGATGGATCGTCACCCTATCAGCTGAACAAGCATTTAGGAGATCCAGGACAGAGTAAGTCAGATCCTGGCTGTTACACACGCACCATTTACTATAGAAAGACACACAGTTGCTCTTTGCTTCCACTTTGGAGTGAATCTCTGCAATAGTCAGCAACAGAAATCCTCCTGATTTAACTCCACTGATGGAAGGACTGATGCCACAGACTGACTTCAAACTTTACTTCCACAGCATGGCCTGGAAGCCCCCCACCCCCTTAAGTATGTCAAGCTATATACTCTATCCTCTATGCACTCTCTTTTTTCCTATGAAATAGGGGGTCATTCATAATATGACCACAGTAAACTTTTTCAGCTCCTATTTTTTAATAATTGTGTTTCCAAATCCTTTTCCCTCAATTTCGCTTATTTCTCCAAAGTTTTGACCTACATTTCAGAGACATTTTTGGTGTTCACTTTTTGCTGATGCCTCTCTCAGTCAAATGTAGGATTGGCATAATGGAAAATGTTCTGATTCTCTATTACATCACATGGGACATTTCCTCTTAAAAAACAGATGCTGACAGTATGATGAACTTGTTTTCCTTTGGATTGCTTCATCATCTATATTACTACCCCCACACTTCATGGGCATTTCTGTCATAATCATTGATATATTCACATACAACTATATAATATGATAGAAGTCGTCCCATAAAAAAAATATCCAGTCAAATGCAAAACACAGCTAGCATGGACACTTTCATTTCTTTTTTTATATGGAAGATTTTGGCAAGACACATAACTACTTAGACAAGAAACTCCACGGTCAAGTGAATGCACATATGATTAAATGACAGCACAAGTTTTACTGGCATTATTTACTTGTTGAATGGCAAAACATCAATGGAATCCATTTAGTGGACTCTTCAGATTCTATTTATTTATCTGTTTTTCTTTTTCCCCTCAACACATCATCAATAGCATGTTAGTTCTTGTTTTGTCTGGGAGACGGGAAGCTGGCAGACGGAAGAAGCAAAAATACCAGCTCCTTCTCTCCCTCTCAGGGATCCCCGAATGCTGGCAAGCATCCCTACCAGTAAGCTTTTGAAAAGAGAGCTGGACTTGGATCCTACAAGAACCGAAGCATGCATTTAAGCTTGGCAATTAAATAGTTCCATAAAAAGTCACAGAACAAGTCATGGGCAGTCTTTGGAGCTTAAAAGTATAGAAAATACACAGCATCCAAAGTGCAAAGTTTGCAGTAACTGGAATTTATGAACCCTATCACAAAAAAAAAAAAAAGGAATTTCTTCTACAGTATCAGTAAAAATATCATGTGTCTTTTAAGGCAGGTGTAATGGCTTTTAGAAGTCAGCAAGAGGAAAACCAATTAAAACCAGATAACAAGATTTTACAAGGCATTTCTCAGCTTAAGGATGAGAAAAAAGTGACAGACTCTAGGGAGAAAGTAGGAATATTCCAACAAGACAAGACAAAAGTATGGACAGCTTTGCTTAAAATAAGCCACATATGCTTTATAACATCACCAGAGGACACCTGTCAAGGCTGTCTTTCATGATCCACTGACACGAAAAGATACCTTCAGGGTGATGTCCTACACATACATTCAGTGCAGATATAGATCAAACGTTATGGAGATATCAGACCAGTAAAAAGATACAGCAATTTCTTTTTTTCTTTTTCTTTTTTTTTCTTTTTTTTTGTGCGCTGGCTGTATTATTTCCTTTCTGGTTCTGCAAACATTAATCAAAGAATCACGGTTTTCTTGGATGTCTTATAAATATACCTAATAGGGCTTCAAAGAAAAAAAAAAAAAGATTCCTTAAGAAAAGAGCTGGATGGTGGCAGGGAGAAGGGAAGAAGAATGATTGTTTATCTTTTTACGGCATACCTTTCTATTTCAATTACACAACTGTATGCAAGTCTTCATTTTTTAAGTGTTCACTAACAAGTGTTTGATGACTCACTAACATTAGGTTT